AGGCGCCATCTGCCTGTGGTTTTTCATCAGCGCTGTTGTCTGCATAATGGCCGCATGGAATCAGAAACCTTGGGGATCTTCCCAAAAGGAGGTAGTCATGAACTCGGTGAGCCATTTTCTCTGGCTGAATATAGAGCTACCCCTCAACCGAGCGATCCGCCCTGGCCAGTACGTGCAGCTTTGGATGCCACGAGCCGGCTTTCGGGCTTTCTTTCAGCTCCCTCGGTTCTATGTTGCATTCTGGGAAAATGGACCAACTCAAAGAATAGTCCGTATGGTAGCAGAGCCGCAACCCGGGCTTACGCAAAAGCTGTATCACGAAGCACTGGAATCCCCGGCCAAGCATTCGGTTATGATACTCGGACCCTACGGACACCCTCTCGATTTCTACCGGTTCGGTACAATCCTCTTCGTCGTGGAGGATATTGGATTCTTTCGAGCGCTTTCATACATTGAGATGTTGGTGGAGACAAGCCGCAGGCGCGAAGTGATGGTGCGAAAGCTAGAGGTTCTCTGGAAGCGCCAGGTTGGCAAAGATGGTATGTTTCTTGGACAAGTACTTTCGGGTCAAGGAGCCGCCTGTTGATCGGGTTTTTCCAGAGAATCCACAATGGGTAAATGAATGGATACAAGGACTTTTCAATCGCGACTGGAGAGCGTTCAAGGTGAATTTTCTGCTAGTGCAACCCATCTGAAAAGTCACGATCTGACCATTCTCCAGATTTTGCAATTCAGCATCTACTGCCCGCGTACTCAGGCAGGACCCCAGAACAATATTTCCTACGAATATGCAGAAAGGATTTGCTACTTTTATGGCTCGATCAAAATCGAGGAAGAAGTTGAACGGTATCTCAACAACCACCAATGCGGAGCTGTGGCCGTAGCGGGTGAGTTTCCGAATTCCAACCTTCACCCCTATCGTGGGCTGAATAACAAAGTTTTGTGCTTACGGTGCTTACGACCTATGCAGTATGTGCGGGTCCGTCAATACGTGCGGCTGTGACAAAGACTGTACGGCTACACACAGGAAGAAATCTCCAGCTAATGGTTTTCGACCCCGATATGAGCCCTGCGCCGGATGGAGTTGTAGATTCACTCAGCAGCGACGAGACTCCAGTTGACCAGGGTTCACCACATCAACTTTTGGGAGTAGGCGAGGATAAGCAGACCCACCAAGTACAACGATTCCCAACAGACAGCAGCAAGCTACAGTACTCATCGCCTAAAAAAATCCATACGGAAGCTGGAAACGTCGA